TGTATTTTTATAAGCTTAATTTATTCGCGCGTCTATATTTTTCGGCTTATTTATTATATGGATGGATTTATTTACTTTTATTATTTTATATTTATTTTCAGTTTATTGGAATATTTTATGGACGCGAAGCTTTGGACGGAAGTTCGCATGATCAATTATCGGCCCCCAATATGAACCCGGATTTCAGCCCAAGCTTAGGCCCAATGTTGATTGTTAACACACTTGATTTGGGCCCACGTTTTCAGCTCATGTTTAGGATATTTACAACAATAAAAATTAGCCAAGATTGTTCATTGGAGCAATTAATTGAAGGAAGAGGCCAAAATAACTCACGCACAATAGGAATTGAAATTGGAAGAAGAGTTTTTAAGTGGCTGGATACTTACTTGGAAGAGGAGTAATTTTTTTGGGAGAGCCTGGTATTAATTAGAAAAGTGGGCGAGAATAACAAGAGCCCAGACGCAGCAATAGAGAGCCAGAAAGAAAAGAACACATGCAGTAGCAGTAAAAAAAAAAAAGACAGAGCAGACGCAACGCACGGACTGAAGGAGAGAAGGCTACACACGCGGAGGGAAGCCGCAACTCGCACACGAGGGAGAACTTTATTCTCTCTTTTATCTAGCTTTTATTTATTTTTATTAGTATGTTAGAGTAGAATTTTTATCCAGTTTGCTGGGATGTTTGAACCCTAATTTCATTTGTCTATGAATTGGATGATCTATTTCTTTCATTGGTTAATTGAGACGTCGTATTTATTTTTGTTGATGAGTTGATTCACGTTATCTATGTTTAATGCATATGAATTATGATGTTTGATTTAGTTTGGCCAACTACGTTGAATATTCATAGTTTAATTGCTAGATTCAAGACTTTAATCCGTAATTATTATTGTCTTGTTTCGTTAGTAGTAAACTAGGGGTCGTGCATCCTTAGGGTAGCGTGAGCATAAGTTAATGGTCCGAGCTTACGCGTCCATTGCTTAGACTGATCTATTTTCCTAGTAATTAATGCTGCTAGTGCATTAAATCTAGAGAGCTTATTCTAGGTTGTCCACTAGTTAGGTTTAGTCGAAGAGCTTATTTCGATTAAATAATCAGTAAGAGAAAATTCGGTTAACAGAGCTTGTTGTTAGCTAGGATTGGTAATTTGTTAGCAATTTAAAGAAAACGTCGAAATTAATTAACGGTAGATTTAAATTGGGTGATAACTGAACCGAAAACTAGACTTCTCTCTTATTTATTTGATTTTTATTTTATTATTTTAATTTTTAGTTTTATAAACCAAATCCCCCCTTTTTATTGCTTTCTTAGATTTAGTTCGATTTATACGAAAATTGTCACGACTTAATTCCTGCTTCTCGTGGGATCGACCCTTACTCGCCGCTACTACTAGTTAGTAGAGGTTTGTTAAGGAAACTTTGTAAATTTAAATTTGCCGCGTCGTGACGCGCGGTCACATGGTGATGCCACTCATACAGAAGTCGAACTTTCTGGATTTACCTAACAACTCGCTTTTGACCTGAAACCCCGTCATCATAGCTGAAGGTTCAACTGGGCGAATCAACCTCACTATCTTTTTTCTGTCTATGCATGCGAAGCAAAAGCCTACCTTAGTATGACATGGAGAAAAATCCAATAACAGGATAGAGAAGCCTGTGTAAGGCAACTTTAGGGCAGGCCCCCACTCAATGTAGTATTGTCCTTTCTCAAATATTTCATGTAAGAAATAATTTTTAAATTTTAAATTGTTCAAATTTTGAACAAATTTTCAATTTATCCAAAATTTGAATTCATGGCAATTTTTTAAGGAACTATTGGACAAATTAGAATAAAATTGTTTAATTTTTTTGTTAATTTTGAAAAAAAAAACGAAAATATAATTTTAGATTATTGAAAAAAAATTATGATTGAATAGAGATAATGACCTATTAAGTAGAGATTTTTAAATTTGAACTTGAAGAAAATCTATAATTTAAAGTATCAAACGATTATAGGAGATTCACGTAGATACTAATATAT